ATATATAGAAATGCGCAATAAACATTTCTAATGCTAGAGATGATGTCTATTGATTAAGTTATTTCTGAGAAAAACCTTAATTCAATCATTAATATCACAAATTTAGATCAATATTGTTCAGTCTAAAAAAGAGAGAAATGTTTACTCTCATTTAGAGTAGACATTAAACATAATATAGAATATTTCACAATGATCTTAGTTTTATAGTACGCATTGAACGACACAATGTTGTAATGAATATACTGGATTCAAACGAAAGTTTTATTTTTCTATCTATAGAAGTGAACCTTATACAGAACAATCGGTCATTAACCTTTAAGGTAAAATAGACAGTAGTCTATAAATAATAAGTAATCTAAATAAGTAGTTAATAAGCAAGGTTACTGATTAATGTGTTATGGAACACGTATACACACAGAAAGAAAAGGATAGGATATGAATGCTCATCCAAATGGCAGTGTCTAATCAATAAAAGTTATCAACTAGTTCAGCTGATAAACGTTGAAGAAAAACCTAAAACTGAATGACTATTTTTATCTGGCAATCTGTACATAAGAATAATACTATTGATTGGTTAATTGTATCACTACTTCAAATAAAACTGAAACAAAATATCTTTGATTATTGCCTATTTTCTAAAAGTAAAGATTGTACATAACATGCTGTATATTTACAGCATTTTCAATACAATCAGAACTTCTAATCTGAGCCATGTTGGTAGATGCAGACTACTTGGTTAGGGTCGACGTGACTATCGTAACCGATGGTTGGAGACTCTGGGTGACATGGATCAGAATCGATCACAAGGGACCGATGTACATATTTGCCTGGTTCTACGTTGTAGCTGACTGATTTGTTTGAAGTTTATAAGATAACCACTGTTTTAAAGAAAGTTTAAAACATCAGAAATCAAATGAAATAAGTGTTAATTTTAAAAAGTGAAAACTGCCTTGGATGTTGAACTTAACTGAAGACAAAAATGATATACTCGTGTTTTCTAGAATTCCCAATATGGTTTTACTGATTTCTTTCCGAATGAACTTCTGTCTTAGTCCCTCTATGTCATGACTAATTATTTACATACTCTTGTATGCGTTTAAGTAACTACATTTAAACTTATAAGTTTCAATGGATGTATGGGGTTACTTTACTTTCCCGTTACTGAATATTCGATTACAGTATCAAGATATTGAATCGTTCTGCTTACTGAGACTGACCTCTTCTCTACAAACAATTCAACATTATATATATATATATATATATATATATATATATATATATAATTTATAGTGCAGATTTATGCCTAATCTGTATTCGCTAATATAGTTTAAAGTTGAACGTATTAACTTCGTGACTAGAAAAGTTTATGGCTAAAATTTTCTCATTCATGATTGTTGTTTTTTTAATGAAGTAACATTAAAATACATCTAAATACTGATCAATAAAACAAGATTCAAGATAGTATCTAGTCGATCTTAATATGTCAGCTGACATCGATTATAAACAAGCAACATATAACTAGTTTTAATGAAAAGAAGACACCTCAAAATCGATAAAAATATGAGTTGTGTAATCGATATTTAATAAAGTAAACTCACAATAATAATGATAGCAATAAAACCAGTGTAGACAAACGAAATAAAACAAATAACTATTCATATCTTAAAGTATAATAGTAACATTTATTTCATATAATTGTGCAAACAACACAGAGTCCTAATCGATGAAAGGATTTCGAAATGAAGTACTCTGGCCATAGGGTATCAATATTCATATAGATTTAACCACATTCTGTAAGTCCATAAAGAACAAAACACCATCAAAATCATCCACCTGAGCTACAAATCTTCTCCACCACTTCGTAAATATCTTCCGAATTAACGAAAACCAACCATAAAAGTATTATAACTAATGAAAATCGTTAAATAGTGGACGACGACATAATCTGTCTACAAAATTCTTAATTTCGAACAGGATTTATTGTCTTTACTATGTGTAAACCTAAACAGTATGATTTTATTATAAAAATTTATTAGGGAAACATTCAGAAATATTTTTTTGTTTTTAAGTTAGAGTAATTTTCTAAATGATAAGAAACGTAGTGTTCCTCTACAACTCCACATTTATGTAGCAATACTTTCTTTATAAATATAGTGAATTAATTTTGGTTCTGAAGTTCGTAAAACAATCAAAACAAAAGATATTGCTTCAATGGATTAGACAAGCATTTCGCACAATGACTACATATATTAACCAATGATTAAACTTATTATATCGAAGATCGTACTGTTAAATATTAAGTGGTTTAGGTCATGTGCACCTAATTTAGAGTTTTATATATTGAGAGGTAATCGATAATGTTAAACATGTTACTAGTGATTTAGCATAGTACTTGGTTGATAAATCAAATCAGCAGTAAAAATAGTACAGCATGATGATATTTATTACTAACACTAATAAAAAGGATTCGAATCAAACCTATGAAAACATCAACACTGGGTCGGAGATAGGTTCACCTGACGAGTACAACACTGGATGAAATTTGCACCATGTATCCCACCACTAGACACAATCTATCCATTCTATAAATTGTTGCTACCATTGAAACATCAATCCATTTGTACAACAGATTAGCCTCAACTGAGTATAAAATTATTGACTAACATAAAATGATGCCAATTTAAATCTATGACGAATCAGTAGATTATTCAAGAGTTTTAAGTACATCTATGTGTTTAATATTTCAGTGAGTATGTAATCAAGTTCAATCAAATATTGTTACCATTAATGTCTAAGAAGAACGAGGATAAATTCAGTAGAATAATCATTGAAAGCATTCGTTGTTGAGGAAATTTAACGACTCTGAAAATAACCTCTAGGAAACTAAGACAAAATCTAACCGGTCAAGATGCAAACGGTATTGATGAATAAATTGCCACGTAAACACCCAACAAAAAAACTAAGTCTATGAGTTGAGGTTTGAATGAGTAAATTCTCTGTAGGCATAGTGATGAATACTCATGCAGAGTTTTTTTATTTTTCAATTTTAAGAGAATATAATTCACTTATTGTGGACGGTTCGGCATTGCTTTGGCAAGTTTTGCTGACTGTTCATGCAAAAATTGGTTTGCTGGTTAACCGATTTCATTCATACTGGTGGTTGATTTTCAGTGTTCCCGAGGGCCATTGTCATTGGGACATTGTAAGGCATGCCGCCATTGCTAATATTAACGAGTTTGACTGTCGTGTAAGCGGAATAGGTCAACATTGGCCTGTTCGTGCTGTGCATAATTGAATCACGCGATCATTGATCGGAGTAACTATACATGTGATGTGAGTGTGTATATGAATGGTGCGAATGGTCCACCAGGGTTCTTGGTACCTGTGTGGTTGCGCCACAGGATTGAGCTGTACTATTCAGATTGTAGCGTTAAAGCCTGTACGGTGTCTGGTTCCTCTGCTAAACGGGGTTGAGCTGCACTGTTTGGGTTTTTACGTGAAAGTCCGGATGGTGTCTGGTTCTCCTGAAAACCAATGTAAAATTACCCTGGCCCACAAGGGTATATTATATAATTATATAATAATTCACTTAAAAATTCATGCATCATATCAACACATCGTAAACATTTTGATGCTTCATGTTTCTCATAACTTTTTCCACAAAAAAACAATTACTTTCTTATCTTCATTATAAGGGCTGCAGAATCCCATCTTTGTTCTTCAGTTCTATCATATTTATCAATTTTAAGCGTCTTATTTACTAAGTATTTTCAAACTTATCTGGTTTCTTACTTATCACTTAATAAGATACGAGAAATCCATCATTGTGTTTTGAATTTTGCGCAAAATCCGATGAGTTGGTTTGTAAACTATACTTTCACCCAATAATTTATAAATTAATATTGTGGAATTGATGAACAGTGTTACTTTGTTCTCAGCATAGACTCAACTGAAAACAGGGAAATATTAAACGACTGTATTGTTGTCAATTGAAACTCTTAAAATAGTGTGTACTCACACCACTATGTTAAAATTGAAGCTGAAACTTTTATGCCTTGAAACAAACACAATACGTTGGTATCTAATGAATGGATTATTTTTTTGACACATGAAACATTTCTATCATATGTTATTTACCAAAGTTGAGAATATTTTAATTACTTTTCTATTCTGTATACATTTGGTACAAAGTATGGATGGTGGATGTAATAGTTTCAATAACAAAAACAGACCACCTGAAAAAAAACAACTTGGAATAATGATGTTTTTGGATAGTATTTTGTTGTTCAATCACTGGTGATATCAACTTTAAGTATTAGCTAAAGTAATAAAAGTGTATCAAAATAAGATTGAAAATGTGTAATTCATTCATAAATTCATAGATAATTATCTCCATGGATTTAGTAAGGGATAATTTACCTTGAATTAATACAGTATCATAGAATATTAACAGTGGACAGTATTATTATAAATGACATAATCTCCCTATTTTACATCCATCAACTGATTAACAAGATTTGAATGAGACAATCAAGTTAACTAATTATGATTATTCTGTATTGAAAGGTCTATTTTGGGTGAAGGTTTGTAATTTGTTTAATAAGAAGCAGAAAATCAAAAGGGGTTAAATTATTGATTTAATTTTAATTCAATTCACTTTGATAACTAGGCATAACATTTGTCTATTCAGCTATGAGGCATATGATTGTTATTACTGTATTAGTTAAATCCAAGTAGGTGAAGCTGAATTAGGTATATACAAACTTGCAATCAACTCATGAGTAATAAACACAACTAGATGTCTTCATTTTTAATGGGGTATATCCATAAAATGTTATACTCCTAGTAGTTTATTTATTTCCGAATTTGATATCACGACCATACTTCAGTGGATATTGTTGAAGAAATATACATAACAGTTAATCAGTAAATTTCATATATTTCGAAGTCTCTTCAGTAATAATACAAATATAATATTAAGTTATCTTTTTTATTTTTAGAAAAAAACAGGATTTTCCATAACCTTCAAGTTTTATATTACGGTGTAACTTGTCCTAATTTGGGTTAGTTAACCAGATATACTTACCTTAACCAGTGTGTTGCTGTTTTCACATTGAACTATTCGAGTTTATTTATCATTGCCTTAAACACCAAGATATTATTGTATTAAGATACATAATTATGTTGAACCATCAACGAGAATGATAATTATTGCTAACAGTAAAGTTTTGTACTTTCCTGTTGTTGATATTAAAGACTTTGATGATGGTGATGATGTATCCATATGATGAGTTTTAAGTAGAATGGAATGCATTTTTTAAAATTTCACTTTTAAACACTCTTTAAAAACCTACAAACAACTTGTAGTAAAGTTCGGTACTTATTGAAGGATTTCATAATAACAAACAGAAACTGATTAAATCTGATCATGAATATATCAAAAACAGATAAATAACATAATTTACATACACCAGTGCTATAGAATGTTTTCTTTTCTTTTTCTAAAAAGGCTGATATTAACTACACATAATACAATATACAGTTTACTGCTTAAAAAAAATAACTAAATTTGGTTTACTTTCGTGAGATAATGTTAAATGGTATGTGAAAAGAAGTGTATTTATTTAGCATACAATGAACATACGTGCCGCCTACTATTTTTAATTATGTGAATTGTAAGTTATGAATAAGTGATTATGAAGTGAATCCTGTATGTGTATATACTATATATATATATATATATTAATCAAAGAAATGACAGATGATATTTCTAAAGAGAAAAATAAACAAAACACACGTTTACAACCGATTATTTATTGATCTATTTAACTCATTAGTGATCGTACTCAATCAATAAGTTGTATGAATAGTAGTTACTGAGACTATATACATTTTATAATAAGTTAGTTAAATTAACTGGAAAACTATTGATAATTGTGGGGTTTTTTCTCTGTAACAATACGAAATTTAACATGTTCTGTCATGTCTTTTTGTCTGTCTACCCTCTTTTGGTGCTGAGGATATTTAGCTAATCCAGATTAAGACCTTGGTGCGATAGGCTGACCGATCTAATCTTGAGAATAGTACGCGTGAGTCCGAAATGGGGTAAAGAAAAGAAAATTATTCTATCACCTGATTGGCTGACAAGCAGGCGAATGAGAGAAGACAAGACAACTGGAACACTACTCGATCTATACCCGATATCCTGATTTCGGATTAGTGTAAAAAGGTACATGAATAAGTCATACATCGAACGAAAGCTTATGTTCTGTAGAATAGATTAGGGACAAAAATAAATGTAAGTGTTTTACAAGATTTGAATAAAATGGTATAAAGTCACGAAAAATAGCTTTCGTAGTTTGTCAGGGCTTCTTGTTTCCCTGTTCACAACATGCTCATTATGTAATAATCAATTCATTTTGTTACATGAACCTTTTTATTTAAAAGCAATTCAAGCAGACAAAGAATCTTTAACATTCCAAATTTACAGAGAAAAGTGAATAACGAAATAGAAATGATCATAACAACAGTAGTCAAGAAAACTAGGACAAAGAGTTAGAGTGGATAAGCTATAACACGCAAACGAAAGACATTAAAAGATAAAGAGTAAGAAATCTATATTCATTACAAACACCGTTCATAAGCCATATCAGTTAACATGAACGAAAACTAATCACATTTGTATTTCGCTCATCAAATATGAATACTACAACACCCTATTGGATGTAAATCAACATACTGAATTGATGTCTTAGTTTAACGACTCTTAACGGTATTAAGCAATAAAAAGAGATTTGTCTACATTTAGTTATTTTTATAAAAAGTTAACATCGTTTACTCATTTATTTGACAAGAAAAACAATACTTAGGGAAATATGAGCTTAAATACTTGCAGTCTATATATACACTCCAATTTTAAGAGGGATGTTTCACACTTAGAAAATGATACAAAATGAACTGCTATATCATAGATATTTAATTAGATAGGTATGGAAATATATATATATATATACCTAAAATGATATTTAATGTTTTCATACAAGATTACGATGATGTTTTAGACTATCTATTAACAATAACCAATCATTTTCTTATTTACTGGTTACATGAAACATATTTTGTTGTGAGATTAATTTTAAGAAGTATGGTAGATAACTTAATCACTATGGAAGAAAATATGACCTTAGTTTATATCTATAAGTACAATATTATAGATCTGATCACTGAAAGAACCAATCAATCTTATCCAAATAGTGACTACATGCCTACTGATCATACAATACAAGAATTTTAGGAACAGATTATAATACCACTTGTGTTATGTTTCGTTATTGCTTGAATGCGATTACTGATGCGTCTTACTCGAACGAAACGACGGATCAATGATTCAGCGACTCGATAGTCTATTCTGGTCCGTTGTCCCCAACTCTGCTGACTCGATCAGAAAGTCTGGGTAAGGTGTAGGAAGTGTATTCTACAGACAACAGCAGATAACAAGTCAGGCAGGCAGATCAGATCAAGCATACAAGTCAAGCGTATTTATACAAATATTTACAATCGATATTGTCATGGAAGATTTTTGAACATTAATCAACAATTGACTGCTATTTAAACATTTAATCGATAGTTCATCAATTGACCTATTTGTACATTTAATCGATAGTTCATCAATTGACCTATCTGCACATTTAATCGATAAGTAAATTACAAAATTTGAGTTTTGGGGATCTATCGTCCCCAACAACTTGTTTAAAATATTGGTTGACCTCTTAGCTTTGTTTTTGAAGTATTTATTAGTGGTGTTTCTGGTATACCAGGAATATCTTAATTGTTTAGACCAATCACTTTTGGAGGAAATAGGTAACATTGGAAACGTTCAAGCTGGTTAATCGATAGTTTAAAATCATACGAAAAGTGTCTATATTGACATTTCATTATCTTAGAGCATAGCAAATTCTTTTCCTAAACTACACACTTTCGCCACATTACTAATTCAGAAAAGCTTTAGTTCGTTTTTAATACTTTGGAAATCTATTCAAGATAGATGATAATATTCAGTGACGAATATGTTAAGGCATACACTGGAAACACAACTTACTAGATGGATCTCACCGATTGTTGAAGATGGTCGATGTACGTAGCACAACATTTTTAGCTTAGCTCAACATATTTGCTTTCCTCTTTAGGAACTCGGAAAAAAGATTTATCATGATGTTAGGATACATTACGGAAGCACTAGTATGTAGGCGTTGAAACAGGTCCTAAATTGCTAATACATCTTAAAAATATCGATAATAATTTGTCTAATATTGATGTATCTTAGTGTTCATAAAAGTCTATGTGTTTCGCATCTGCTCTGTTAAAAAACTTGAACATTGCTTAAATGAGCTGAACGCAGTACTTAATGCCAAACGAGCTGACATCCACAGTACCAAGTTAATATGGATGGCAGAAAGAGTTGATAGCCATTGATATTAACCGCTATTAATTGTTAATCCAACTTAACAGCATTGAAAGAGTTGACAGATCCAACTCATCAACAATAGATTTAGAATAAATACTGCTTAATAAAGTGAATAGTTTCCAACAATACAATGATCAACAGGGAACCACGAAAATAAATACATATGGCGTTTGACTTCTCTACACGCGCCAGGCGTCCGTCTACTGCAGTTTATGAAGCTAGCAGAAATAGAATTACATTTTAAAAAGATCTATATTCTGTTAAAACAAAGCAAATGATTTAGGTGACATACCATGGTCATCATTTAAATCGAATTTTAAAAAATCAATCCTGATGGCTACTGAGGACAACAACTAACATTCGGTGATTGACAAGTGATTATCACTACAACTCTTGAATAAACCAGCTCTACTGAATCCACCAGACATCGGAAGCAGCACACACAGACCTTCCTTTAGATGTCACTCCACGAACAGTCGAAGAAATCAGGATAGTCATCGGACAAATCAATAGTGAGAAAGAGTTACGACCTGACAATATGCCAGGTGAAGCTCTGAATTCAGACATGCACTTAACTTCAAGTCTGCTTCCCATTCTATTCAGGAAGATCTGGGGGGAGGAACAAGTGCCAATGGACTGGAAAGAAAGATACTTCATTAAGATACAAAAAGGGAGATCTGAGCAGACGTTAGGACTACAAAGAAATCACACTACTATAAGTACCAGGAAACGCTATCAAAGGACAGCTGTTGAACCGATGGAAGATTCAGTAGACGCCCAACGTCGAGATCAACAGGCTGGATTCCGTGCACAAACCAAATCGTGACACTACGGATTATTGCTGAACAATCGATTCGATGAAGCTCATCATTATACATCAACTTCCTTATAAGAAAGCATCTAAGATTGTGGATAGAATAACATTATAGGACCTTCTTTGACACTATGGTGTTGCAGAGGTCATTAGCATTATACGGGATTCGTAACACAGACTACATTGCAAAGTCGTGGATGGAGGACAACTCACAGACTCATTCGAAGTGACGCCCGGAGTCAGACAAGACTGAGTACTGTCTCTCGCCCTTTCTCTTTCTTCAGGTGGTTCGTTGGATCAATAAGACCTCTACATCTCAGGGGAAGCACGGAATACAGTGGACAGCTTGAATGGAGCTCAACGATTTGGACTTGGCTGTTCCATCCTATACATACGAACAAATGCAGATCAAGACAACCAGTGTAGCAAAAGCTTCTACATCAGTAGGCCTCAACATACACAAAGGAAAAAGCAACATCCTCTAATACAATACGAAGAACACCAATCCAATCACACTTGATGGAGAAGCTCTGGAAACGTCCAACTACCTACTCAGTATCATCGATGAACACGGACGATCTGATGCAGACGTAAAGGCGAGGATCAGAAAAGCAAGAGCAGCATTTCTACAATTGAAGAACATATGGAAATCAAAACAACTGTCAACCAATTGCAAAGTCATAATCTTCAATACGAATGTTAAGACAGTTCTACTGTATGGAGCTGAAACGGAGAACTACTACAACCATAATCAAAAATGTACAAGTATTTATAAACAATTGTCTGAGCAGGATACTCAGCGTCCGTTGTTAAACGTATATCATCAGCAACAGCCTAGTATTGGGGGAGAGCAAACGAGCTCGCAGCTGAGGAGGAAATTAGGAAAAGACACTGGAAGTGGATAAGACATACATTGAGGAAATCATCAAAGAGCATCACGATGCAAGCGCTAACTTGGAATCCTGAAAGGAGATTGAAAAGAAAAATGCCGAAGAACACACTACGTCGGGAATCGGAAGCATACAAGAAAAAGATGAATAGCAGCTGGAAAGGATTGCCCAGGACAGAATCGAATGGAGTGCTGGTAGGATGCCTATGCTCCTCCACGAGGGATAACAGGCGTAAGTAATGAAAACAGTAAGAATTGAGTTTTTTGCATCACTAGCCTGAGTTATTATTAGAAAAAACATTCAAATGGTAGAAAAGATCTCTATAATTTTACAAATTAATAATGAATAGCAAAACGAAAGTTATCAAATAGACAGTACATCCATTAGTACAAAAAAGGCACATAAATGATAAGATGTTTTTAAAATATGAAAAAAGAGAATAGAAAAATAACCTGAAAGAGGGAAAACCAAATCTACTCTTTACAAGTCTGAATTGATGCATTTAATTAAATACTTATAATTGTTATGTAATAAGACAAGATATTTATTGTTAGAAAAAAACATACCAAAAATAGGAAAACAAGTTAATTACTTCTCTAGCTTCAGTCTAAAATCAAATGGATAATATGAGAAAAAAATACGTTCATTTCGAGAAAGGAATTCTCACTAAATCATTGCATAATGAATAAACTAAACTGTATAACATTTTAAGCTAACTAATTGTTATAAGGAAAATTATAAATTACTGAAATTAATACAAAGTTGATTAAAAAGATTAAGGAACATGATATAACTATTCTTTAGAATGTTGGTCTTTGTATACCTGTCACATATGTGTATACAAAAACTAGATTCCATTTTATTCTGTCAATGAAAAAGCAAAAATTTGATTATATATATATATATATATATATAGATAGATAGATAGATAGAGGAGTACCGGGATTTGGCACACAAGAAGCAATATGGGTTATCTTAAAAGTAGTGTATAATACTTTTATCAAAAGTTAATAACATTTGTCAAAGTTGGATTCATCATCTACCAGACGATTTCCCACGAGATGAACCAAACGATGGTACTGTTGGCTTTCGAATGGTGGTAGTACTTCCCGAAGTACCAGATGGTAAACTGATTCTAGAAGGCACTGGTCTTTGTTGTACAGTTGATGATGCTGATGATTTAGGAAGGGACTTTGTAGAATTTGATGTCTGGTTTGTTTTGATATTGTTAGAAGAAACACTACTACCACTACTATGAATGCTGTTATTAGAGGATGGGTTATTTCTGAGTGAAGGTTGAGTTTTGTTTATTGGACGATCAAAAGAACCTTGTTCAGGTCCAGTTATACTAGTTTTACGAGAACCAACACGACTACTTATGCTCATTGAAGGCATTTTTTGAGATAGCATTGGAAGACGAGAAATACTTCCATTAGGAAGAGGGATCGATATTTTTGAAGGAATTTTTAAACCTGATTGTCTACTTGGTATTGTTTTGTTGTTGTTAACTGGTTTGGTAATAGATCGGGTTGCCTGGGGCCTTTGTAGGTATTTGACAATTGATGCAGAGTCTGACAAATGGGGTATACTTTGTTCAAGATCTGGTTCACTTTTTGATACACTATTTTTACCCGATTTTGTATCTTCATCATGTTTCGTAGGTAACGCAGAATCTGAATTGTTTTCCAACACAGTGACATAACTGCTTAACTCATAAGTATCAGGCTGGTGTTCATTTTTCTTAGGATTCATCATTTCATCATTTGGACGAGATATATGTGCTACACTGTTGCTTTCTTGTGTCGTACAATCATTTATGGTATTTACAGTACTATCTATACTGTCTATAATGGGTCTGAGATTTTTTAATTCATTCGTTTGTGATGTTGAATCACAGTCATATACGCGCTTGAAGTCTGGAGCATCGTATGTAGAATTTAATGGTTTAGAGGGTAAAGTCACAACATCTGTTTGATCCAAATTTGTACTCGAATGCACATCCGCAATCATATTGACTTTAGGTTCACAATCAACTGAACTTGATAATGGGTTAAAACATTCCTTCGCTATAATAGTATGTTGACGCTCTGGCCTATCATTTGTATCTACGATTGCAATTTCTTCGTGACTGTGTGTTGCGCTAACCCCACAAGAACTTAAACCACTGCCTGATTTTTGCCCAATACTACCAGCGGCACTACTTTTATGTTTACGATGTTTCTCATCTCCAAAACTCGACTCAGTAAGTGAAGTGTTGGAACAATCTAATTTACTTCTACTACCACTGTGTTCACGTAAGTGAGTTTCCTGGAGACGAGCTAATTCAAATACATCTGAGCTTCGCATACTAGAGTAAGATGCGTTAAATTTCTCAGAAATTTTGCGACCCTTTGTAACTAATTCAGTTGCAGAATGCGACTGAGATATTTGGTTAACTCCAGATGAGATATCTAAACTTCTAGTTACATCTATATCACCTTCATTATCCGATATGGGCAGAGAAGTGGTTAATGCATGAGATCTAGAAAGTAGGGAAGGTACCTTAGGAACTGACTCATTGAGAGGGTAGTCATTTACCTCCTTCAGTAAATCCATTTGCTCCTTCGAGTAGGTCCGTGCAAGAACGGATTGTTTTTGACTACTAGGCTTTTGATATGGGCTACTAGTAGCGCCTGGAACAAGCAAAGTGTCATTAGGCTTTGACGAAATTCTGCGGTTACTAATATTAGGTGAAACGTTATTATTCGGAGTCGCATGAGGAGAAGCAGGTCGTTGAGATCTGTGTAACTGAGGTAATCCTGAATACACGGCTTGGGAGAAAGGTGGTTTGGGTTTTTCGCAATACATAGCACTATCAACTTCTTGAGCTCTAGCATCAAAGACTTCACGTAAAGGTACCTTTTTATTGTTATTTTGTTTACGTAAAGCATATGTACCCTGTAAATTAGAATACTCTCCTATTGAGCTGTTTAAACTGCGGCGGAGATCTAACTGAGGGTCAATGTTCTGTATATCGCGATTTGGATGTGACAGAAAATTTTTAAAATCCATAGAACCATTCACAGACAGCGTTGAATGGTATATTTGGCGATCACTATCATTTAATCCTACTTCATTAGGCGAATGTTTCCTCAGTGAGGCCTCTTCGATTAACCCTTTGATTTTCGCCAACTCATTTAATCGGTTCAAAAGATGATAGGAATTATTACAGAATTCTGGATCTCGATCGAATGGCGTACGATACCAAATTTTGCAACTGGCTTCAACATCTAAAATAGCACCTTCATCTCTGTTTCCATTTGAGTCTACTTCAATAGGACTACGTGATGGGTCTATCCACCAGTCGCCTCCACCACCTAGTCCCAGATGAGCTTCCAAAACATTCAAATTTTCTTTATTTAAAACAGCAGGTAAAAGAAGCTCAAATGCATCATTGCAATTCTCTACTGATTGATCTTCAATAACAAACGATGATGGGGCATTGATCGAAGATAAAACAATTTTGGTTTCTTCAGAGAATGCAAGATTTGATTGCATTTAAGTTCTAAAATGATCATATAAACAAAAACGAAGCAAATTAGTTGAACGAAGTAATTACACAGTCCACTAGCCATATAAACTATGGGACAAATATGCATCGACCCAAGTTGTGTAGCTACATCAGTGGGTTGGAATGAAAAACCAGGAAACCGGAATAAAATTTATACTAATGATAAAAAAAGTAACTAAACATAAAGTATGTGGTGAGAAACAAAGAGATGAAATAGCACACGCATTAAAAACGGTTTTAATATTAAATTCAGATGTCGCTACGACTAATTCCCGGCAGTTACCTATTTAAGTCTGTACATTAATCATGCGCAACACAGAACCTGGAATGTGTGTATATCAGTTAAAGTTGTCACACCTCATCAGCACAGCGACATGAAATCGTCAAATGAAATTATAGAGTAGAAGAGATAATAACATTATTGGTGGAAAAAGAAAAGATCAGATATTAAAGAGCCAATTCGAGAAAATACAAATAAGCGAAAAAGAAAATCATTGAGAAACTTATGGTCTAAGGGAAAATGAAGAGTAAATGCACATGCGCTGTCATGAGTGATTCTAAGCCATCTCATCCCAAATCTTCAACCACTGAGTTCAATAGTCACGTAGACCCTAACCAGGTAGTCCTCACCTGTCCACATGGCTTAGTCCAACAGTCAGTGTTTTTATGGACTGATGCTATGTCTTGATCTGGCTACCCCTGGCTTTTTTCCAGACTACTCCTACAAAATTGTCATTACGCTGTTGAGGCAGTCGGTGGATGAGGATACGTAAAGCATATTCTAACTACTTCAATACATAAACATTCACTGCCACATCAATCGATTTACCATACATACCTAGTAATATGGGCCTAACCTCAGAATCGCTAACTTGATGGTTTTAAAATACACGAGCAATAGTTCAAAGATATTTATGATCGAATATTAATAACCTACAAATATCCTAGGTTTTTAAAGGGGGATTGAACTACTGAACAGTTAACTCATCCTGACTGAGAGGTGGATACTTCGCCTAAGGCACAAGCGATTCAAGTTGATAAAAGCCAACCGAATTTTCTGCATTCTTCGACGGACACCAACTCACTAGGGCTGATGAGAATTCCAGGATAAGAGAAGTGATCGACAAGGCCAACTACTTCAATCCTGATCATTAACTCAAGCATTAAAGCAGACCATTCCTGAAGCAACGTCTTGCATTTAAAGAAAGAACCCATCTTAGACAAGTTTGGATTGTTGCTGAGGGTGACCAAAAGTCCACTGCCTCCGGTATTTACCCAAACTGAACTGTATGATTTGCATATCTCAAGTTAATAAGTGGATCTCTTTGTATAGTATCAATCTCCAAAAAGTTGGATGATGAAAGCTGCATTCCTAAGAGAATATCTACGACAAACTTAAACAAAAACGGGGAACATTAACAACTCTGATGAACACCACTTGGAGTCATCAGTTGTAATGGCAGTTTGCTACAATATCTGACTCGACAGGTGGCGTTCGAATGGAAAGCCTGCACAGAGCTAACATATTCCTTTGATGCGTTCTTAAATGACAGATAATGGCGTAAAACTTATCGATCTATGAAGTTCAGTGTTGCCTTAAGGTCGAGGAATGCAACCGTGGTTGGGAGTCTGAATAATGTTTGTGCTCTAAAACCAAATGCAAGGTGAATTATTTGATCTACACATCTACGTCCAACTTTGAAACCAGACTGCTTTTCCCAAGGTTTAGTTAACCATAGAGCAATTATTGAAGCTACTAACTAAACTGATTCCTCAATGGCTGTCACAAGAGGGTTTTTGTCTTTCGTTGTAGACTGAAACGATTAGTGGTGTGAAGCAGTCAAATAAGATTAGATCTAGTTCTCAGACTCTAGCTGATATCTCAATCTAACAGCTAAAACTAAACCCCAGTCCTTAAAAATCTCGGGAGTTAATCTATAAGAGCCTTCTGCTCCACTTGGCTTTAGATTTAGTCATGGTTTTTCTACTTCATAAAGATATAAAGAGCTCATGTAAACATTTCATTCAGGTTGTTTAGTAAAGGTAGGCAACTGAAGAGTAGTTGATGAGCAGTTAAATTGTTCTCGAAATTGTTTTTCCTATGGTTTCAGTATCCTGAGCTGAGAACGGATCCTAGTATCATCTTTTCCAAAAATAATCTTAATGAATCCCGAATTTCTATTACCCCTTTATCTGATAATTCTGAAACGTCATCCAGTGTTATCAATCACGGCTGACTTTCTTTACCGCCTTTGCCTTAGCTATCTATCACTACTCATGATCATTGCGTATATCTTTTATTAGTCTAAGTTTAAATTGCCTTTACTCCTTATCGTGTTCGAAGCCTGAAGGGAGGAGTTTCCAAGCACCGACCACTCCAGTAAACGCTGTTGAAACCGACTGACTTCCTAACCTTTCGGTTGTAGTTACTGATATATATCACTGCTATTCTCACCGCTGTCCTGATATCATGCCAACTTAGATCGGAGTGAACATCACTTTGACGATTAACTAACTGTTTCTCTAAGTGTTAATGATAAGCTTTTGACTTTTTTGTGGTTTAAGTGAGCTTGAAAGGATTTTCTTTTTGTGCCTTTTCTATGTTTAGTAAGACACAGACGAATACGTCTAAACATGTGCCCCAGAATGAGGAACAAACACCTATGGAGTCTCTCCATAGATGGCTGATGTTGATATGGTCTATTTGCGTCTATCGTTGAGTTAATTGTGGAGATCACCATATCAAACGATATCTCTATTTATGCTTACATTTGGTGCTTGTTAAGAATAAACGGTTGTCTATGCATAGTTGCAGCAGTTGGTCGACATCATCTGTTCGTTCAACTGGATCACCGTAAGACTCACCTAAGTGTCTTTCTGATTTAAACTACCTATATATATATATATATATATATATATATATATATGCAAGACACAACATACACTTATGGCACGGTATCCTGAAATCTTTGCTAAGGACGCCTGTTGGTCTAGTTGAAATAAGGTAGGAACATTGAAAGCTCCAATGTGTATTACACAGTGTGGTTTCAGGATGCCAGGAATAACATCTCGCGAACTCGAATAGTTGGCGCATGGAGATAAAGTTATAAGAAAAAGGTTGGTTTAGGAGATGGAAGGAATATTAAGAGGCAGAGAAGGGAGTTGATAATGAACAAGAGGATTTTAATTACTGTTAGAGGTGTGATGGCGGTCTTCACTTCCCAGTTCCTTACAGTATGGAATGATATTTCTTCATGAGGGATCTGGGAAGGAAACTAGATTAGTAGTGGTCATAGCAAACTGATACAAAAAATAATTGATATTGAAATCTACCCTGCTAAGAAACCGATGAAACATTTGGATTTCAACTGCGTGGTGCTATCTAGGCTTTAACAACTCATTGTGAATATGTTATTTCACTAACCACAATAAAAAGATATTTATAAACATACTCTAAGTATAACTTCTAATGTTGTAAAATGTTGTGTCAACGAGTGAGAATACGACAATACGATTAGCCTTACTAGTTATACAGAACAATTAGTAAAAGCAGCAGACATGAAGTTACGAGATTTAATAATAGATATTTTAAAGGAGGACCAATTTCTAATGTATTACACGGATCAAAAATTTTCAGTGTTAGATGTTGACAATTCTAAAGGCTGGAAACTTGAAATTTCCAAAATAAGTAAAGTGTACGATGTGCGTCTTTAACTATAATTCACCTCAATGAGGAATAAAAGCAATTAAGTAGTTATATGAAGACTTCGAGGATAATAACATAGTACCAGTCCATGAAGCTATCGACTTTCAAACTACATCAAAATCATCCACCAGAGCTACAAATCTCCACCATCTCACTTTCAAACTAAGCTATATCAGTTGGTATCTACTTGCTGTTGTAACGTGTGAAATACTTCTAATTAATAGTTAGAGACAGTAAGCGATATAACGCTAAATTTGTCGTAGTCGCATCTACTATACAATCTCAGTTAGTTCCTAGTTGTTCATTTCACTTATGCCGCTTGAACCGTGTTTCTCACGATTGCATTTGTATAGCAGTTCAAACTAATCCCTTTGTTTTGATTTTCACTTAGTTAATTTTCTTTCTCATTGTGCTAGTTAGGTGTTATAGTCAGTCAGTCAGTCAGCTACAACGTAGGACCAGACACATATGTGCATCGGTCTAGGTTGCCATACCGCATCAGCAAAACAAGATGAACACCGGATTCATAGCAGTGGTTGGGTCAAAGGTGGTAATATATAAGAGAAAGATTGCATATAGATAGGTGTTATAACTTGTGTCGATATGTATTTGTGACAAGTTTTACGTTGGTTTACCAACATGAGAATTTTAAAATATCCCATTAGATTTCTAGCAACTAATTGAGGTAATCTAGGCAGATCTAGGTGTTTCAGTTTAATACCCTTAGATATATGAAAGTGATTATAGTCTTGATTTTATAGATCAGCGTGGTTAGTACTGGATTAGAAGCAATCATTATATAGTTACTGTCTAGCGATTATTTATTTAGTATTAACCTGTTGTTATTTCGACATGTCCATCAGTAATACTCCACTACAGTCTTTATAACGGAAAACGACGGTAATGAGAAATATAGAGAGGTCTCGTCATAGTTTGTAGCAATCCTTTATTAGAACGCGTCAGATATTGTTCCATATATTCAGGAGGCTTTGATAACTCAGCCGATGAGTAACCTTTGAGTTAACTGTATTTTCCTGTTAATTAAATTATTTTCATAAGTAATCCAGACCTTAATTACATGTGCCTTATTATTGGGACCCTTTTTAATTCTGGACTTGTAAGCTATATATATGCTAGCATGTCTGTAACTGTCTACAGAGTCTCCTTAATCACGTTATCCATTGTTTGATTCGATATGGATTAATCCTTGTACCGCCCCCAAACACCCTGGTATGGCCGAGAGTGGGGTGGGGGTGTTGTTTACTAAAATGAGGACGAAAAGCGAATG